TATTTTGAACCCCCTTGAATAAAGTTTAAGTGAAGATATTATAATTTCGTGTTTCGGTATCTCAAAGAATACAACAAAATCTTGGCAATTGCTTTGAACGCTCTAGTCGTATTTTTCCACCATATTGTCTCTAATTTGGCATTTCGGTTTCTTAAAGGAGAAACATCTCATTCGAGAAAAGTATATGACAATATAAACACATTGATATATAGATGAGTTGACCCCAAAATGGTCAAGATTTTACAGAAAAAATATTATATTAATCAATCATTATCTGTGATTGGGTGTTTCAGAAAAAAGAGACATCCAAACTACCATATGGAGGATATAACTACCCCATCAGGCCATGTCATGTCCTCCAGTTATTTGGGGTTCATTTCTTAATCGCCTTTTCATTTTAGCCCATAAATTTTCCATTGTTTTATAAAGATACTTTCCCTTTCAATTGGATTTACAAAGGCCACAGATCTATATAAAGTCCAAGTGGTTTGTATAGATGCCGATTGAAAATGTATAGAGGCCACAGGGCCAATTGGTCTTTATATAGAACAAGGGTTTACATAGTCATATTAATCTGTATAGAGACCACAAGCCTTAACAAACGACCAACTGGTATGTAAGTAGAGGGAAAACAGGGGTTTATAAATACCAACTGAAGACCTCCAGTTGTCTTGGCAAACCAGATGGTTCTTTCAGGATGGTGCAGAAGTCTCTATTCATATTGAGAATAGATTGCTGACAATGTGTAGTATGTCTATTCAGCATGTGGTTCTACACATTTCGTTAAGCCCCTTGAAGCCTACTCAACTTATTACAATTGATTTTTGGTTGCATACCGTAAATGAGCTTGCATTTCTCAATTTGGAGCATAATCCACAACCAAACCGAATCAAACGTAAAAAACACTACATAAAAAACTGGTACAACAGCCAAATATTCCTAGTGGGCAATATAGAAAAAGTAAAATGAAGATTAACTACATGTAGGTACAAACATTATTGAACATATCCACGGTTAAAACATATACTCCAAACCAAAATATAAAAATTTGTTTCAAAACGTATTCCCCAAATTTCTGAAATTTTGGAGGTACATTTGTATTGTGCATAGCCAAAACATTAGATTGATTTTGATAATTTTAGGTAGGAACATCCAATTCGACAATCGAGATGGTGGATCTTTGCCTAAAGTCCACGGAGAAAAAGTCCGAAAAATTGTAAAACTACGAAGTAGTGGTCCTAAATCCGCTTTTTAATATAGTGTGTATACATCAGACCTCGACTATTTGAATCGATAAGCTATGTTACTGTTACTGCTACTGTTATTGTCTGTAGATTTTCATGTAGATCCGGTTCTGATTGAAATGGATCAACATTTTTTATACCCTACCCAACAATGTTGTCAGGGTATTATAGCTTTGTGCAGCCCCGACATGTGTGTCCGTCCGTCCATCCGTCTGTCCATTATATTTTGTAAACACGATACAGGCCACAGTGATGGACCAATCTTCACGAAATTTTGCATGTAGGATGGGTTCGGCCCAATGAAGACCCCTATTGTTTTTGGAAAAGATCGGTTAATATTTAGGGGATGAAATACTTAATTTTTGTCGGTTTTTCTGGTCGCTCCAGAAGTTGCAATTATGGCCCAAAATTCGCGAATTTTTACATGGAGAAGGGGATTGGGCCAAGGAATAAGCATGCCTGCTTTGATAATGATCGGTCAATATTTAGCGGGTCAAATCAAATGGACCCCGACTTTTGTGTGAAAAATTACAAAATTTATATTCTATTGCGTATATATTTACTCCTGAAGGACATAGCGCCGAGAAGTTGATAGTATATCCAAGAGGAGTGGTTGGCCTTTAAATTGATACCAATTATATTGTTGTGTGTACTCGGATATGGGAGTTACACTTAATTATTTACAAGTGCTTACGTATTCAGATATTATTTAATAAACCATTACCACACTAGAGGGCTTTGAAATGTTCATGAGGTTCCAGTTATGGTCAAGGACAACGCCTATAATTTTCGGTGATGATCAGATAATCATTTTCGGATGAAGTGGACCAAAAACGTGGAAGCCGAATATCACAACACAACCCACGGTGAATGGAACACGGACAAGTAATTAGAAGGACTGTACTGGATATTAGTAATATTTGGAAAATATGTCAGTGTAAAGAAGTGGTGCTGTGGACCTCTAATCGGGCAAGAGGGTGCAACTATCATGAAATAGTGCCTAGGCTCGGAATAAAAATCCGGAGAAAGTAAGAGTTCCGTGGTAGTTGTGTAGGGTATCGTATAGTCCGACTATACAGCTCCGCTCACTGGTTTATTGATACTTATGATCCGTGCATCAAGAAAAGGAAAGGTCCATCGATTAATTAAGTCAAGCATGACAGAGCAAGACAGGAAAATATTGTGGAATATAAGACTGATTTTGCGTTGAAAACGCATCACCAGGCGGCTGCAGACAGAAAAGGGTATTTGGTACGAACCAATAAAATGACCGGAAATGCAAATGCCGCAAATGCTGAGCGATATCGCTCAGTTCTCCATTTTAAATTGGATAAAACAGTATTTGAAGCTAGGCTTCAACCAAGAGAAGAAAGTAAAAACGAAAAAAATATGCCCATCAAATAAAAAGAAGAACCCAAATCGTGTTACAAATCGTAGAAAATTTGAAGGCAACTAAAAACCCTCCACCATGTGCTAGGCATTTAAAATTCTTAAATATGGTCGCGATTTGAAAATCGCCTGTCCAGTAGGTTACTTAAGACTTGAAATAGTTTTGTGGGCCTTTGTAAATAATGAAGTAAATATTATACTTGAAAAAGGGATATCAATCGGTTTTTATATAAAGGAAATTTGCGGATAGAAAATTTGACATTTTGAAAAATTGGTGTTAGAAAATAATATTCAAATATGTTTACTTTTTCACATGGTGAAAACCGATGGTGTATTTAAATCGCATCGTGTATTAATGTGATTATTCAGATGTGATGTGTGATTTTATGAATAATGTTTCGAATTTAAAGTAACAAAATTTCATTTATATATATTTTTTGTTTTATTAATTTTTATTTTTAATAATAATTTTTAATTAGTTTTAGTTTATATGTTTTGCTTTGTTTTTTTTTATTTATTTTTGAAGTTATACAATTGCAGTATTTGTTGTTGTTTTCTTATTACATTTGCTTTAACTTACATAGCTACAAAAAAGTTATTCTTTATTAGATAAATAATTTTTGTTATTGGATCTTTTTTGTTGTTGTTGTTTTTATTTGTATTTGTTTAAATTATTTTTATTTTTCAAGTTTGTAATTTAGTTACTTTTAAAGCTTAAAGAGAATATAATTCCAGTATTTATTTAATTACACTGTGCGACACGAAAATTTTTCAGGGGTTCTAATGTACCAATTCTGTTTAGTTGAAGTCCCTGGACCACGAAAATACCTTTGGTTTTTCTGGGTCACTTCGAAAATTAATTTTATAACGGTAAATATAGAGAAAAACGCGGTTTCATGGATTTTCCATTTGAAACTTAAATAACTTATTTACTTTATAACGGATTTATACTATTCTTTTTTTCTATCGAAGAGTACAATTTTTCCTTTCAAACAAGATATATATTTGGTAAATCGGTTGAGGATTGGCTGAGTTACAGCGGTTGAAATGTGAAAAAATACGCATAAAGTGACAAAATTTATTTTTCTTCGGACTGTACGATGAAATTATGATATCAAGCCATATAAGTTTTATTATATTACGGGGAAGAAAATTAAATTAGCTTTCGAAAATGATAAAAATCAAAAAAATCGGTTAAAAAATGAATGACTTATACACATTTTTGTATTGATTCTATGCATATTCTCTAAAGGAAATATGGGTCTATCTCGTTTCCCTTTGCCTGTTGCAAACATAACGGTTTGTAACAGGAAACGATACAGGCCCATATTTCCTTTAGAGAATATGCATAGAATCAATACAAAAATGTGTATAAGTCATTCATTTTTTAACCGATTTTTTTGATTTTTATCATTTTCGAAAGCTAATTTAATTTTCTTCCCCGTAATATAATAAAACTTATATGGCTTGATATCATAATTTCATCGTACAGTCCGAAGAAAAATAAATTTTGTCACTTTATGCGTATTTTTTCATATTTCAACCGCTGTACCTCAGCCAATCCTCAACCGATTTACCAAATATATATCTTGTTTGAAAGGAAAAATTGTACTCTTCGATAGAAAAAAAGAATAGTATAAATCCGTTATAAAGTAAATAAGTTATTTAAGTTTCAAATGGAAAATCCATGAAACCGCGTTTTTCTCTATATTTACCGTTATAAAATTAAATTTCGAAGTGACCCAGAAAAACCAAAGGTATTTTCGTGGTCCAGGGACTTCAACTAAACAGAATTGGTACAATAGAACCCCTGAAAAAATTTTTTTTGTTATTTTGTAGCACAGTGTTATTATTTTGTTTATATAAGTATTTTCATTTTTATAATTTTTGAAGTTATATTTTTTTGGTTGTCTAAATGTTGTATTTTAAGATTTTTTTTGTTTCGATTTTCATTTTTTGTTCTCAATAATAAAAAAACGAATCATAAGCACTTTTTTGTGTGTAAGTTTGTTTTCTTACATATTTTTTTGGGATTTTATTTATTTTTTTTTTTGGTATTATTATTATTTTTTTTTTGTAATCACTACAGATTGTGTTTTTTAATTCTTTGTTTTTGTATTGAATATAAGATTTTTTGCTTCTTCTGTTTTCTCTGTGAATATTACTTAGCTATATAGTTTGGAGGAAAGACAATAGAAATGTAGAAGATTTTGTTGTTGTTGTAATTGTAAACAGTAGTATGACACTATACTGCTAGGAAGAAATGTAACGAGCTGGTTGGAAGGAGTGGGAGGAGGAGGCGGAGGAATCGAGGGAGTTTTGGGGTAGGTGGATAGGAAGTATATTAGAAAAATCATAGCTCCTGCCTTAGAAGGCCATACTCGTTCGCCTACCACCAACACCGGGCCCGGCACGAAATGCCCCTCCACCACCACCGCCACCACGTGGAAGACCGCCATGCGAAACACTGCGTCCCATACGAGTCTCACTACCACGACGCTCACGCGCTTTACGCAACAAATCCGAGGTGCTCGGACGACGACTGGTGCTTGCCGATGAGCAAACACTGCGTTTACTGCCGGACATAATGTCCGATGTTGACGAACGTCTGACATTTTGCGACGACGAGGCAAATGCATGAGGCGACAAAAAGTACGGTGACGGAGAACTTGCCTGTGAACGCGACATTTCGTAGCGATGATGTGAGGCGGATGATGGCTGTTGCAGATATTGTGTCGAGCCACCGTGGCCGCCGTCGCCACCGCCGGTGAGGTGTATCAGTTGGCTGCTGGAACGGTTGTCATCGTTCGAACTGTTGCGACGTGTCGAGTATGGTGACTGGGGATAATCGATTAGTAGATTTTCCGACTCTTCATTGTCTACCGATTCGATTTTCAAATAGGGTGGCATGCGATTATACGGCTGATGGATGTGATGATGATGATAATACTGATCGCTTAGGTTCAGTTCGCTGCCATTGGCATTGTAGCCGCCGCCGACGCCGCCACAGACGACATTGCCGCTAACCAAGCCAATACCGCTGCCATTCAGATCGTCAGCATTATCACCACCACTGCTGCCACCTCCACCGCTACCACTACCTTTGCTGGGTGCCAATAAATTTGTCGACTGGGAATTGGCCTTGTTCTGGCCGGAGCTACCATTGCGCAAACCACTGTATAAGGACTTAATGTGAAAATCAAGGGATCGGAAATTCAAGAGGGAACGTTTTTTGGGGATTTTGGCTGCTGGCTCGGGTTGTGGTAGGGGTGGTGCTTCGACATCACCATTATTGTTGTTGTGGTTCTGGCGGAAACCAGAATTTCCATTGATTAGATCGTGATCCAAATTGTTGTTGTTTAATGTATCAATTTGTATGGTATTTGTTGTTGTTGTTGTTCCAGTTGTGATTCCTGTCGTTCCTGTTATCGTTAAACCATCTAAACGATTTGTTCTTGCGGTTGTTGTTGTTTTATTATTATCCAAACTATATGACATATTTTGAGAAAAACGTTGTTGCTGCTGATACTGCTGTTGTTGTAATTGCTGTTGTTGTTGCTGCTGCTGTTGTTGTTGTAATTGTAAATCATGTTTACTTATTGTTGTTGTCATTGTTGTACTACTTAAACTAGTTTTACTACTAATTGCTTTAATAAATTTATTATCAATATCTAAAGACTCCTTTCGTCACTGAATAACGCAAAAGCCCTGCTTAGAGGCATCCTTTGCATCGCCGTCTTCACCGCAAAACGCCGAGACCTCATCATTTTTGGGTGATTCTTGCCCACAGGGTCCCATGCCGCTGCTGCCGCCGGCGACACCGCCACTAAGGCTTGGGGGCCCCTGAGGGCAGGCTGATTGTCACCGAAGTGCCAGCGTTGATATCATCGGCGGTCGCACCGGTTTATTCTCTAATATTCGTTCCAATTCGAGCATAACACTGGTCGACAAGCGTGGCAGTAACTGGAAATAGAAAGAAGAACACAAATTGATTTGTTTGAGGTTTAATAAATCTACGGATATTTTATGAATCTGAACTCCTCCTCATGTTTAATGTGTGGAGAAGATATTTTATACATATATGAGACAAGAGACTCAGATCTTTAATAGTTATATTTCCAAGTCCTTTTTACATAAAAGACTGAAACGGATCAACTTTATCCTTATTTATTTTTTATTAAATCTTTTATTAATTCAGACCCTTTATTACTGATGTATCATCGGGACGAATTGTGATAAGTAGCTCATAGACAGACGTATCGTTAGCCCAAATGGAAAGGATTAGAATGTGGGAGAGAATTAGATCGACTTCAACCGGATCGATGTTTGCATGATGAAATATGCCCTTAACTTCCTGGAAAGGAGCTTGTGGAAAATGGAATAGTAGAGTACAACGAGAAACTACACTCCATACTTAGAAGGAAACACCTTGGGAGAAATATCTTTCACAGGTCTTCTGTATTAGGCAGATCATTCACAGATATTTTTTTTTGCAATGGGTCTAACATCTCCTCACCTTTATTGTTGGGTGGAGTTATTTTTTACAAATACCAGACAGATCCATGCCCTTTGTAAAAAGGAGAAAGTAAATTTCATTCGAAGGATTTTTGCGGACACAAGGCCTCCAGAGTTAGGGTGTATTCGAGAGACCTATTAAGAAAAATGCCTTCCAGAGGTCTTTTGTAGATATTTTTCAATGGATCTGAAAACTTCCTCAGGTTTACTGTTGCGAGAATATAATCTCTACAGATATGAGACAAGACACGGAGGAAGGCCCGGACAATGTGAAACAAGTTCTTCTATGGAAGGCAGATCTTTTACTCTATTCAATAAATCTTAAAACCATTTCTAGGTTTCCTGTTGGGAAGTAGATTCCCCGATCTTTTGCAGATAGAAAAACCTTCTTTCACAATACATTCGATAGGATGTCTTGTTGTAAAAGACAGGAATAGAAGAAGAATATAAGGTACACGAAAGTTATTTTAATGTACTTTTAGGAATAGAGTATTCGACAGTTCCCGTATGGAAAATATCTTTGAAAGTCCTTTTCTAGAAGAGAGATATTTCACAGATTTTTTGGGACACTATATTTTCCGCTGTTTTTCTATAGACACAATAAGTTCTATAGGTCTATTACGGATACGGTATTTTGTGGATGAAAGTCCCGCCACAGATCTTCCGTGGGTGGAAACTCATATCTGTAGACGAGAAGACCTCCCATAGGTCTTCTATAATATTTTAATGGATAGAGGGCTTCGCATGTGCTGTTCTAAGGCTAAAAACCCTTCCACCAGTCTTCAAAAAGTAGGAGACCGCGAATACGTCCCAAATTGTCTTCTGTGGATAGAAAACCCTCCCAAAGAATATATACAGATATACGGCTACAATGAAGACCTCTTTCAGAAGACCGTCATTAGGACATATAGAACAGAAGACCTTCTCCAGGTCACCTTTAAAATTAAGACTTGGAGGATAGAGAAGGCCCTTTCCAGATCCATAAAGAATATATCAAGGTCGTTTACATTATAGAAGGCTTTCTATAGGGCATGTGACTTTATCAAGATATTCTATAGTATAGTAGACCTTTTTCAGGTCTATTCTACCTCAAAGAACTTCCGAGTTTCTACATAAAACAAGTTCTTCTAAAAGGCGGGTGACTTTCAAAATATCTTCTATAGGATAGGCTTTCTATAGGGCATGTGACTTTCTCAGGATATTCTATAGTATAGTAGACCTTTTTCAGGTCTATTCTACCTCAAAGAACTTCAGAGTTTCTACATAAAACAAGTTCTTCTAAAAGGCGGATGACTTTCAAAATATCTTCTATAGGACTTTCAAAATATCTTCTAACGACTCTTCTGCGTAGCAGACTCTCTACAGGTCCATTCTAGAATAGATGATATAATAAAAGGTCTTATAGAGGGCTGTTGGTTCCATTTCTTAAGATCTTCAATAGGATAGTATAACTCGTTCAGGTCTATTTAAAATTTAAAAATTTCTAGTCTTCTTTAAAAAAAAGTAGTATTGTAACCTTCAATTTAAAACCAGGAGACCGTATTCAGGATGTCTATAGAACAGAAGACTTTCTCCAAATCTTCTATAAATTTCAGACCTAGCTGAGATAGGAGACCATCTAAGATAAACTCTAGAATAGAAGACCTCAAAGTCTTCTACATAAAAATAATTATTTCAGGTCGTTTGTAGAATTTAGGATACCCATGTCTTCATTACGAAATAAGACCTCCAGTTCGTCAATATAATATGAGCTTTCAAGATCTTCTCTTCCTCCAGATCACAAGGTCTTCTATATGATAGGGGACATTCTCCTCGTATTCTATAGGATAAGAGTTCTTTTAATAACATCTAGGTCTTCAATATGATATAAAACTTTATTCGGGTCTTCTTTCACAAAGTTTTAAATATAATAGACCTTATTCACGCCATTTGTAGGATAGAAAATCTCCTATAAGTTTAAAGACGTTTTCGTCATCTTCCAGGCCATTAATAGATAGTAAACTTTGTCCAGGTTTTTTTTTTATAGAATAAGAGGCCTTATTTAGATTTTATATAGGGTAGGATAACCTGCCAATGCATTCTACAGGACAGGAGAAATTATCCATGTATTTTATAGGTAACTTTATAAATTCTTCTTACTCAAGGCTTTGTAGACGGTCTTCTAAAACATTACTTCTTACCTGTAATGATTGCAAACTTTGATGCAATTGTTCAGCAGAAGTGGCACCTAAAAGTAAACACTGTACAGGTTCATGTTTTAGCGACCAGGCAATGGACAATTGAGATGGTGTACATCCCAGCTTTTCGGCCAATGCGGCTAAATCTTTCAAACGATCACAATGGCGGCGACCTTCTTCCATGCGTTCCTTATTCCAACTACCCTGAGGTGATAAGGCAGCCTGAAATGAAAACAAAACAAATTCCTTCATTTGTAATTGCATTCTTCAATGCTTCAACTTACATTCCGATTGACTTCATCTTCAGTCCATGAATAACTATGACTTTTCGTTTTAAATGAGCCTTTTGGTAAAAAGATTTTTTCACCATTTTGTGCATCACTTAAGGCCATCGATAGTGGACCCCAGGCCATGAGGCCAACACCGATTTTATTATACATTTCCGGTAAATACAATTCGCATTTCTCGCGGCAGAACATATGGTATTCGGATTGTTCGACAATCGGTGTTATACAATTAAACTGACGGCAGTTGGTGTAGGCCTCCATTATTTCCACCTGAGACCAGCGGGCTGTGCCCCAGTACATGGCCCAGCCCTGTTGGATGACATAGTTCATGGCACGTACAACTTCTGTTTGGGGGAAAATTCAAATAAAGAAAATAAAAAGGAGAAATTTAAATTAGCTTCATATAATATCATATGGGGGAAGTTGTTTCTTTTTTTTTGGAGTTTGGGAGAATCGTACCTTCCATTGGACACATAGCATCCGCTTTATGTATGATCACAATATCAATATATTGCAATTGCAAACGTTGTAAGCTTGCTTTTACGGATTCTATAATATGCTTTCGTGAAAGGCCACGTTCCTCAGATCTGTAAAAAGAGAGATGAGATATAGAGAAAGTGCAAATGATGAGTATATTTGTAGTTGTGTGTGAGTGTGTGTGTGTGTGTAAATGCTAATGAATGTAAATTAAATTACCTTAGAAACTAACAACTAGACTAAAGATAATTTAATTTAATTGTGCAAATAGTGTGACTTAGTTTAGATTGAAATTTACGTTTTCTATAATAATTGAAAAATATATTCCTTGAACAAATATTATTTTATAGTCCTTGAAAAAATATTCTTAAAAAATCCACGCCTTATTGATGGTCCTTGAAAAAATATTCTTAAAAAATCCACGCCTTATTGATGGTCCTTGAAAAAATATTCTTAAAAAATCCACGCCTTATTGATGGTCCTTGAAAAAATATTCTTAAAAAATCCACGCCTTATTGATGGTCCTTGAAAAAATATTCTTAAAAAATCCACGCCTTATTGATGGTCCTTGAAAAAATATTCTTAAAAAATCCACGCCTTATTGATGGTCCTTGAAAAAATATTCTTAAAAAATCCACGCCTTATTGCTGTGGTGGTCCTTGAAAAAATATTCTTAAAAAATCCACGCCTTATTGATGGTCCTTGAAAAAATATTCTTAAAAAATCCACGCCTTATTGATGGTCCTTGAAAAAATATTCTTAAAAAATCCACGCCTTATTGAATGTCCTTGAAAAAATATTCTTAAAAAATCCACGCCTTATTGATGGTCCTTGAAAAAATATTCTTAAAAAAATCAACGCCTTATTGATGGTCCTTGAAAAAATATTCTTCAAAAATTTCACGCCTTATTGATGGTCCTTGAAAAAATATTCTTTAAAAAATCCACTCTTTATTGATGGTCCTTGAAAAATATTTTTAAAAAATCCACACCTGTTAGTAGACCTTGACAAACAATTTTAAAAAAATCCGCGCCTATTAATGTTTTTTTAATGTTTTTTCCGCGCCTAAGGTAGTCCTTTAAAAATTCTTATAAAATTATTAAATATTATTAGTAAAAAAATTAAACATTGTTTACTTACTTGGTACTCCAATAGACTTTCGTAGTTATAACATAGGCGGTTCTCTTCCAACCCGTCCTTTGTAAGATTTTACCAATTTCCGTTTCTGAATGCGCCTCCGATATATCGAACAAATTGATACCGCTCTCAATGGCCAGCTTAAGTATGGCTTCGGCCTGTTCATCGCTGACACCCGGTGAAAAGACCGGCCATGTACCTAAGCCTACATTGCTGACGCGCAAACCGCTCTTACCCAAATTCTTGTAACGCAAGCCGGGCGTTGGTGTTGAGCCCGGCCGTAGCGGTAGAGCTGGATTTGAACCCAAACTCAGAGAACGGCCTGGCGTTGTTGATGATGATAGTGTTGTAGTATTTAGGGGAATAGTAAGAAACATTTTTTGATCGATCAGTTAATTTCTTACAAAAATTATTTTCTTTTCCGTTTTAACGAGTAACACATAACAAATTTTCTCAACATTTATACAAAACACAAATTGAAGAATTCCAATGAAATTCTTCTTCAATTTTTGTTTTTCACAAACATTATTCTAACGTGCGTCTAAGACAAGAACAAGAAGAAAACCAACTGAACTGAAGTAATGCGTAAGCAACTAAAAACAAAACTAAAGGGAGAACATGATTTGTTAGGAAAATACGAATAGAAATATTGTATAAGAAAAATAATTGTTGTTTTGTTTTTTCGTCTTGGATACTTGTTTGCGTTTTTGGGTTCAATTAAAATTAGTCAACTTCAAATCAATAAGTAAAAGGAGAAGGAAAAACGGAAAACGCCGAAATAACACGAAGTACAGTAGTTACTTGATAAAGAGAATACGTATTTTATGTGAAGGATTAGTTCTCGAAAAAATATTCTTAAAAAATATAGTCCTTGAAAAAAACGAAGTCTAATATAGTCCCTAAAATATAATTTAAAAAAAATCCTCGCCTAATATAACCCTTCGAAAAATATTCTCAAAATATACCACGCCTAATATAGCCCTTGACAAAATAGTTCTAAGAAATCCGAGCGTATGATAGCCCCTCCAAAAAGTCCTAATACAGTTACAATTAAAAACAAGTGAAAAAGGCTTAAGTTCGACCGGGCCGAACTTTGGATACCTTCCACCATAGATATACTGACAGGAACTTGAAATGAAAATATAAGGGAACATAGCAAAAAGTGGACTCATACCGACATTTCTACAAACCGATTATGTAAACCATGATACAACTTTCAAAAAGTTTTAATGCCTAATGGCTAATGAGGGTGTATACACTTTGACACGGTGAAAATGAGGCTCATCGAAATATTGGTTCTAGACCCCATGTTTCTTTGGACAAAATTTGCTTCATAAAGTTTTGATTTTATCCAAACTTTGCCCATCTTATTATTTCAAACTTAGTTTAAGTTCGAAGATAAGGAATATCGGTCCACTCCATCTGGTACCTCCCACAGAGGGGTTAGGCCTAAATGCGGGTTATAGTTCATTTATAGTTCATTATCAAAACTTACATTCTAGTTTTTTTAATTCGATATCCCCCGCAGGTGAAATGATTGCAACAGAGTTTTGGAACCAAACCCAAAACCCGGAACAAATCAGATAACTATTTTAATATAAAAATGGGGTTATATGGGAACTACCCCAAAAAGATGGCGAATATTAATAATTTTTGGTATACGACTACAAAATACCAAATTCCAACGCATTCGGTAGAAAAACGCGCTCAAGAACCCCAAAATACCGAAAATTTGGGGTACCCTTGTATGGGGGCTATCAAAAAAAAAAAAAAAAATTACCTATATTTATAATTTTGGAGGGTGGAGGGATTTGGTATCTATTAAGAACTCAAAATACTAAATTACAGACAATTCGGTGGAAAATAGATCAAAACCCCCAAAATACAGAAAATTGGAAGGTACCGTTACATGGGGGCTACCAGAGAAAGTGGACCTATATTCATAATTTTTTGTGGAGACATTTAGTACCCAATAGGAACCCAATGTACCAAATTTCAGGAATTCGGATGAAAAATGCGCTCAAGAACCGCAAAATACCGAAAATTGGGGGGTACCGATGCCTAAACGTGGACTGGTATATCCCATCTTCGAACTTGACTGCAGACAAAAGTCAAAACTATGCAAAATTTCAGCAACAGACGGACAGATGGCTAGATCGTTTTAGAATTTTACCTTGATGAAGAATATATACTTTATAGGGTCGGAAATGAATTTTTCGATGAGTTACAAACGGAATGAAAAAATTAATATACCCTCCATACTATGGGGAAGGTATAAAAAAATTTATATAATATATCACCTATAGAATGTAGAATCGCTCTTAAGCTCTCCTATAGAATATACTCGCCCTTCAGCTCGCTTATAGAATGTACACCCGGCATTCAGCTCGCCTATAGAATATAGATTCGACCTTCAGCCCGCCTATAAAATGTAGTCTCGCCCTTCAGTTCGCCTATAGAATATAGGCTTGTCCTTCAGCTCGCCTATAGAATGTAGACTCGCCCTTCAGTTTGCCTAAAGAATGTAGTCCCGCCCTTTAGCTTTCGTTTATAATATAGACTCGGCCTTCTGTGAGCCTATATAATATAGACTCGCCCTTCACCTCGCCTGCAGAATGTATACTCGATTTTCAGCTCGCCTATAGAAAATATTAGCCCTTTAGCTAGCCTATAAAATACAGACTCGCCCTTTAGATTGCCAAAAAAAAACAGATACGGCCTTCAACCCCCTAAAGCGTAGAGACTCGCCCTTCAGCCTAACTATAGAACGTAGACTCGACCTTCATCTCGCCCATAAAATATCGACTCGCCTATCAGCACGCCTATAGAATGTAGACTCGGCTTTCAGCTCGCCTATAGAATGTAGACCTTTAGTTTTCGTTTATAATATAGACTCGCTCTTTAGCTTGCCTATAGAATATAGACTAGCCCTTCAGATCGCCTATAGAATATAGACTCGCCCTTCAGGGCATATATACGATGTATAAACCTTCTCCTCTGCTATGGAAGATCTTGTGGTTTTCTATAAATTAAGATACATCTATTCTTATGAGGGATATCTAGTGAGAACCGTTCTTATCGCCACAATCCTAGTTCCAGTATAGATAGCGTTTTAAAAAGATATTCCAAAAATCACCTTATCAAGTATCTACTGTACCCTCGCGTTTATAATAGAATATTATGTCATTGTATATAGTATAAGTAATAGAAAGAAGTAAGAAAATGGGTAGTAGAGAGAGTTAGTGATAGTTATGATTTTTATTACCTTTACGTTATTTTTTGTTTGAAGCGAAAGAAATATGATTAATTATTATTACAGAAATACAAAATGAAAACACATAAAAAACACTCTAACGAGGGTTATACATTTATATACAGCAATTCTTATTGTCCTTATATACAGCCAATCCGACAGTAATGAAATGAATTGTTGATTGTCTCACATTTACTTAATAGCAGCTACAATGATAGAAAACAAGTCTGACCAATGACAACGAGGTGGTCCCTATGGTTTCCTTATTGTCTGTCCTTCCTTATTGAAAACACGCAGTCAGTCTGCTGCGTGTTCCATTTGATTGACATTTCAATGACCCGTTTGGCGATTACTCGAAATACTATATTAATAACAAAATTTTAACACGATTGGATTGTTCAATTGCATTATTGAACACTTGATGATTGTTGTAAGACCGACCAGTGGACGTTGGGGGATTTTCAATTGAAAATAATTAGTTTGCCATAACCTACCACAATTTGGATAATAATGATTTTTTCGTTTTTCAAAGATCTATATTTTTATGTACTTTTTAAATAAGGAAGTAATTTTTGAAATCTGTTATTTTTAGAAATAAAAAACATCGAATAATGTAGATTGGAATTATGAAAATAGTCTGTAAATATTGTAAAATTAGTATAGCCTATAATAGTAATAGTAAATTACCGAATTTTCTACTGGACGTCTACTCTTTGTAAATATCTTTACAATTTATCTCTACAATTTAGACGTCGCAAACAATGTAATTCCTCATAAAGATTTCCTTATAATCACATACTAATACTTCCGGCTGGTCATTTCGAAACAGTATTTCTAGCGGGGGAATAATTGCAACAGGATTTAAATAATGTTTTGAATTGGAAATATTCGCAGCTCAAAAATATTCCCTCCTCGACTCTTTTGTGTTTGACTGTAAGTAATTTCTTCTAATGATTTATGGAGAGTTCGTTCAAATCTTATCAAAGTTCAGTAGTCCAGGTAAAGAACAAGAAAAACGTGAGCGTAAGCAAATCGAGATTTGCAGGAGACAGAATGAAGTCCGAAAATTCTACTAACGGGTGAAACTCCAAACCGAAGGCTTTGGTGCAGGCACATCCTCCTGTAGAGATAAAGAAGGAAACCTGCTGACAGATACAGACAGCGTGCTGAGGATACCCCAGAACCAATAAGGGATGATTGTATACAGTGTATACCACCTAGCCAAGATGAAGTCAGAATAGCAATCAATCGGCTGAAGAATAATAAAGCAACCGGTACCGATGGGTTACAAGTCGAACTATTCAAGACTGGTAGTAAGGAGTTGTAAGGAGCACCAGCTGATTAGTACAATTTGACTAGAAAAATGCATGCCCAATGATTGGAACCTCAGCATGTTACTCGCCTACACCGATGATATCGACATAATGGGTCGACCACTGAGAGCGGTAACAGCTACCTTTGAACAAATTGAGAAGAAGTCTGCCAAAGTGTGTCTGGCAATAAACGGCGAGAAGACCAAGCTGATGGTATCAACGAATGACATCAGAGTTGAAATTCGGAGAAGGATATAAATGGCTAACAAATGCTACTATGGTCTGAGCACACTATACAAGACGCTGATACAACCCCCATTCAGATCTTTAGATAATATGACGTGCTTCACTTGTCTGTAGAAACATCCTTACCTCCTCTATTGATACTTCTTTAATCCCTTCAGCTCGTTTATAGATAATACTTTCTAGTTGTGTGCAAATATCCCTTCAGTCCGTCCATACAAATTCCCTTCACCCCTTTCTATAAAGACTAATTTAAGCTCGTATATAAATAATCTCAAAAGTGGCACCCTTCATATCGTCTATATAGACTTCCTTCAGCTCGTCCACTCTAAAGACTCTCTAAAGACACCCTTCAGCTCGTCTATAAAGACTCCCTTCAGCTCGTCTATAAAGACTCCCTTCAGCTCGTCTATAAAGACTCCCTTCAGCTAGTCTATAATCGTGCATCATCTTCAGTTGTTGAATCGTGATTCCGTGATCTAGTTCTTTAGTATAAATATTCCAGACACATACCTTCAGTTTCGTCAACCTGTGATCAGAAAATCCTCGTTCCTGTAGTATTTGCCCTTCCTGTTGTTTTGCCCTTCAGTTCGCCTATAGTTCGAGTAGGTCAGTTCAAATAGTATCGCCATTCAGCTCGCCCACAGCATATAGACTAACCAAAATATTATAGTCTTGCTCTTCACCTTGCCTAAAGAATATAATCTCGCTCTTCAGCTTTCCTATAGAATATATTTTCACTCTTTAGCTGGCATAAAGAATATAGCTTCGCCCTTCACCACTTCTATAGAGTGTAGTCTCGCCCTTCAGGCTCACCATTCAGCTCGTCTGTAGAGTGTATAATTTTACTCTTCAGCTCATCAATATAATATAGTATCGCCCTTCCACTCGACTTTCAGATGGTCTATGAAATGTAGTCACGGCTTTCAACTCGTGTTTAGAATGTAAACTCGATTTCAGGTCATCTTCAGAATTATAAAGCTTCTAATAACTATAAAAAATTAATTATTCATCATTTAACAAATGTGTAACTGTTTCGACTCGCTTATAGAATATACTCTCGACCTTCAGCTAGCCTACAGATAAAGGGTCGCACTTCAACTTCTCTATGGAATGTAGTCACGGCCAAAAACTGATCAAAGAATATAGTCTAGTTCTTCAGCTCGCATACTAATGATTAACCCGCCTTTCCTATAAAAGAGTCACTGCCTTCAACTCACTTTTAGAATACAAACTCGATTTTCAGAAATTCTACGGAATGTAGTCACGACCTCAAAATTGTCTTTAGAATGTAAACTCGGCTTTCAAGTCATCTAAAGGTCTATACAACTTCTAATATCTATAAAACTATTTTTTAACTTATAAAAAATATGTAATTGTTGTTTCTTTTGTTGTTATTTTCAGGTAAACTCATGTCCTTGGTAAGCAATACTCCTTTTTAAAATGTAATTTTTTAAAAAAGTTTTTGGATTAAATTGATGAAAAATGGAAATTAGTAATTGAAATGTTTTTACAAAAGGTTTAAATAATATCGCTGTTAATTATTCCTCGCCACATCTAAAACACACAAAATCAACCAAATATTTGGTAATTACTTTAAAAAACACAAACTTTTACAAAAAACAATAATTACATAAAACCACAAAAACAATTACAACAATTATGGAATAACAATATATAAACCACACAATCATAGGATTGTTTCAACCCAAATAACCAACAACTATAAATAATATCGATATAAACTAAACTTTCTAAGTTAAATCGATAGACAAACTAACTAAAAAACAATAACAACAAACCAACGTAGAAGAAATCCAAAAGCAATATTAAATATATATCGAAATACAAAAACAAGAAACACAGTATTGAAAAAAGTGATTTGTTAAAGTTTTGATACCGAAATCAAGATGACCGCCCGTACCACTGAACTCCTCCATGCAATCGAGTGATGCTATTGGGGCTCGACACCTGCAAGGAAACGGAAATAAAAAGTGAAAGAGTAGTACGTTAATATAAGTTGCGGAACTTAGGAGAAAACTTAAAATAAGTTTTATTTTACTTAAGATAAAGAAAGGGGTTCTATTAGCTGACAGTTTATTAAGAAGAGAAAAATCATTAAAAGTAATCAAAACTTAATTTTTAAATTTATTTTTTGGTAAACCAGCCCTTTTTTCCTTAAGAACGCCATTTAGAAATTTACTGTTTCCTTATATTAATTGCCTTAAAATACCTGAAATTATTTAATGACAACATAGCGTCTTTATTTCATTATAGCCCAACATCATCAAAATTATGATTTCTTTTTAAATCGACACTATTTCGTAGTTTTTCCCACATAAATTACATTAATTTTTAACATCTGACTGCTGTCCGTCCTCCATGTTACGGCTTCCTATTTGCACAACTCTTCTTTATCCTCTTGCTGTTGATGTTCTTCATCTTTAGAATCAACAGGATTTGCACTTCTCATCATAAATCCCTTGTGTCAGCAAAAGCTGCAGGATAGTTAAACAAAACAAACATAGCAATACAAAAACAACAACAGAACAAAAAATACTGTTGAATATAAGCTCTTTAACAGAAATCCGCTTTGCTCAACATTTATTATGTAAATTAACTGCAAAAATCTCTACAAAAGTAGAGCAAGGCACAATAAAAAGACCGAAAAAAAAAACATGAAATGAACCGAACTACACCAGGCCTGGATGGTAAACATAATTTGTTTATTCTATGGCTACCTAGTGTACAACTATATAAATCCATTGTGGGTCCTGCAGTATGAACGATCGTTGTTTGTTTTTTTTTCTGTTCTTTACATAGAAATTAAAATAATGAAGTGGTCTAGGATTCATGACAGGATGATGACGATGAGTTACAATGTCCTGGTTTACTCTTTAATTAGTTTGCTGGGTTTATAACAATAATAGAAATTTTTTTCCTCTTCGGTTTGTTTAAATATACGTATGTTCCTTAGAGGAACTCCGTACTTTTCGTCTTTGTGTACTATTTTCAGATCTTGTATAGATCTCGTCTATAAAGTCTCCTTGCCGCACTTATATAGAGACCACTTTTAGGTCCACAATTAAAGCACACTCTACGTCGTCCAAAGCTAACGCAAGAATATTCTGAATATATAAGACACACTTCAGAGCCTCTATTAAGACTCCTCTCAGTTCTTTTATAAAGACTTCCTGTTTCAGGTCGTGTATAAAGACTCCCTTCTGATCAAAATACTTCATGCTTCTGCTCGCCTTAATGACCCTCTTCAGCTCATCTAAATATACTCTATAAAGACTCCCTTCAGCTTGTCTATAGAGGATCCCTTTAGATCGTCTATAAAGATTCCCTTCATCTCGTCTATAAAGGCTGCCTTCTTCATCCCGCCCATAAAAACTCTCATCTTCAGCTCGTCTAAAAAGACTCCCTTCAGCTCGTCTATAAAGACTCCCTTCAGCGCGTCTATAAAGACTCCCTTCAGTTCGTGTGTAAAGACTCCCTTCAGCTCGTCTATAAAGACTCTCTTTAGCTGGTCTATAGAGACTCCCTTCAGATTGTCTATAAAGACTCCCTTCAGATGGTCTATGAAGACTTCTTTCAGCGCATCTATGAAGACTTCTTCCAGAACTACTATAAAGTCTACCTTCAGCTCGTCTAAAAATACTCCATTCAGTTCGTCAGTAAAGACTTCCTTCGGCTCGTCTAAAAAGACTTACTCCAGCTCTTGTCCTTCCCTTTTTCGGCACGTCTATGAATACTTTCTGCTTCAGGTCGTCTATAAAAACTTTCTTCTTCAGGTCGTCTTTAAAGACTTCCTTCATAACGTCTATAAAAACTCCCCGTCAGGTCGTCGATAGAGACTCACTTCAGTTTGTCTATAGGAGCTCCCTTAAGATCGTCTATAAAGACTGCCTTTAGGATCTCTACGAAGATTTCCAGTATCAGCTCGTCTATGGGGAAGCTACAGATAATCACATTAGCTTATCCATATAGACTCCCTTGAGCTCCTCCTGTAGAAACTCCCTTGACCTCTTCCTATTCAGACTCCCTTGAGCTCCTTTATGAAGTCTTACTGCTATAGCTCTCAGCTTTAGCTCATCTCAAGTGATTCCCTGCTTCAACTCTACGTCTATGCAAAAACTCTGCTTCAGATGGTTTATAGAGCACGGGATCTACAACGACGTACTTTGTAAAGATCTATAGAATGTAAAATCGCTCTTTAGGTCGTCTATATGATGTCCATATAAATGATCTTCTGTTCGACTAAGTTTGTCAGCTAAGCTCGTTTATATAAAGTTCGTATTCAAATAAATGCATCCTTCAGTCTCGAAAACTTTTGTATAGACTTCACGCTCTTCACCTGAAGTATACAAACTCGACCTTTAGATTTTATTTTAATAGAACTCGGTCTTCAGCTCATCTAAAGCTTAAAGATTTGTACTTCAGTTCGCCAATAGAAGATTGACTTGACATTTAGAATATTGCCTAGATTTTCAGCTGGCCTCAATGATAAATTATCGGCTATACGAAATATACTCGACCTTCACTTCGTTAATACAGAACTCCACCTCTTCTGTACATTATAGTCTCGACCTTCATCTCTCCTATACAGTATAAACACGGTCTTCAGCTCGCCTATACAGTATTGACACGGCCTTCAACTCGCCTTTACAGTATAGATACCGCCTTCAGCTCGCCTATACAGTATAGACACGACCTTCAGTCGCCTATACAGTATAGACTCGGCCTTCATCTCTCCAATACAGTATAGATTCGGCGTTCTACTGGCTAGACAGTATAGACTCGGCCTTCAACTCGCCCATACAGTATAAACTCGGCTTTCAACCCGCCTTTACAGTACAAACTCTGCATCCAGCTTATTCGTACTGTATTGACTTCACGTTCAGATCGCTTATATTCGGTATAGACTCGGCATTCACCTCATTCTTTCATAATTACTTGTCTGGACCTAGTAATGATTCGGCCGTCAGATTGCATATACACTGTAGCCTCGGCTTTCATATCTCTTATAGAGTATAGAATCAATTTAAACTAGTCTATAGCATCTACTCTCCTATACAATATAGACTAGACCTTAAGCTCTACTATAGAATATCGACTCGGTCTTTAGCTCGCTTACGGATTCTATAGAGAACTTCTTCTATATAAAGAAGACCCACATAGAATGTATTCTATTTATCTCTGCCTATTGATGGGTTTCTGTCTATAACGCCATGTACTCCCTCTCCAATCTAGCTAATAACCATTTCCAGTTTCCATTCTTATCTGTAGCAACTGGCATCAATTACGATTTTGCAATTAAATTTCATGATAATGATGATTGTAATGGTGATGGTAGTGGTGGGTAATACCACCCTCTGCCTCCCATTACACATTTCTGAGGAAAGGAATTACTCTTTGCATTATTCACACTTTCAACTACACACAGTACTTTGGCTCTGATGGCTAATGTAATTCTGATGATGATGGGGCTAGTGCTGCTGGTCCCGTTGTTGATAATTGTTGTTATTTGTATTTCGGAGATTCGACGTATTCGCATGTTTTGTTTCGTTTGTTGGCAGGATGGTTGTGGTTGCCTGTTTTTTGGTTGGTTATTACACGTTGGTTGTTTCTCTCTCTCTCTCTGTGTGTATCGTGGCTGCCAATATTAAAGCGCGTATCATTACCGAATGACCTTGAACCACTTTAATATGAATGTGGGTGTCTATATTCATGTTGGTGTGTGTTTGTGTTGTATTTTGAGTGTTGACTCTTTTTGCCATTTGTCCATATCGATGCGACATAAGGGAACAGCAATTCGCAATATGTAATGCATTTGCTGCTGTTGCCATTGTTGTAATAGGAAAATATGTTTGTGTTTGTTTGTGTGGATGTTCTGTATGTGTGTCTGCATATGTTAATGGCCCCTAATGATGCAGTATACCCTATTGTGCCCCATAAAGAAATATATTGCTTGCCGATAAGAAATTATGTACTTTTCGTTTCCATATTTTTATGACACTTTTTTTTAAATTTGCATGCTTTAAACACCACTTGTTTAGGGTTTGGGCGGGACATTGTTATTTATGGTACTTAAATACTGTAGTATATTAAATGTTTAGAATATGTACACGGAGTCTACATCGCCCGTGCCATAGTTCGGATTTGAAATTGTTTATTGAACATAGTTCATGACTTCGGATCGCTTATGGAATATATGCTCGGCTTTCAACTCCAATACGGAATATAGAATCGGTCTTTAGATCTCGTGTGACACTAACCAGCTGGTCTATACAGGATAGACTCATCTTCGGACGATTCAGATGTGTAACAATTAAATTAAACTTTCAAAGCGTCCAAAGACAATGTTGAGACTTATAAAGCATGGGTTTCAATAACATGCGAATCGACGACAATCCTACAATGCAATGTGAGAATTCTCGAAATTCTAGTAGTCAGTTTGTATTTCGCTGCTGACACGATGACTTTATGTTAAAACGATCAGTCAATGATTGTGCGATCGTCAGAGGATTACGACTGTTCATCGCATCATATAACTACTGATTAGTGAAAAGAATTGTGAGTATTGAGGATCTAATACTCGGTGGTTCATCTATAAAGACTCACATCGCTCATATATCTCCTATCGATTATAAATACTTCTTTGAACTCAATAGAGACGATTAAACATTTAGCTAACCTATATAATATAGACTATAACTTCAGCTCACTAATATAATATACCCTCGGTCCTCAGCTTGTCTATTCAGTATAGATTTGACCTTCAGCTAGTATATTTAGTATATATTGCCCTCGGCTAGTTTATACTGTAGATTACAGTATAAAATCCACCTAAACTCTTCTGTAGGTTCTATAGTATAGTCTCGGCCTTCAGCTCGCCTATACAGTATATACTCGGCCTTCAGCTCGCCTATACAGTATATACTCGGCCTTCAGCTCGCCTATACAGTATATACTCGGCCTTCAGCTCGCCTATACAGTATAGACTCGGCCTTCAGGTCGCATATACAGTATAGACTCGGCCTTCAGGTCGCATATACAGTATAGACTCGGCCTTCAGCTCGCCTATACAATATAGACTCGGCCGCTCGCCTTATAACTCGGCCTTTATCGCCTACAGTATAGACTCGGCCTTCAGCTCGCCTATACAGTATGAACTCGACCTTTAGCTCGCCTATACAGTATAGACTCGGCCTTTAGCTCGCCTACACAGTATAGACTCGGCCTTTAGCTCGCCTATACAGTATGAACTCGACCTTCAGCTCGCCTATACAGTATAGTCACGGCCTTCAGCTCGTCCATACAGTATATACTCGGCTTTCAAATCATCAATACAGTGTAGGCTCGGCCCTTTGCTCGTCCATATGGCATCGACTCGGCTTTCATTACGCCTATACGATAAAGTCTCGGCCTTCAGCTCGTTTATACAGTATAAACTCGGCCTTCAACTCGTTCGTACGGTACAAACACGGCCTTTAGGTCAATACAGTATAATGTCGGCCTTCCGTACCTTTTGTGCTATGCACAGGTAAAAGAAGCTTTAGGCGAATAATACAATTATTTGTAAACATTAATTAAACAAGGAAGGTATTCTTCTGGTATTCTGAAAATAATACTCCGAAACAAGTTTGTTCACAAAGACTTCTAGAAGGCAGAATGACTTCTTACTAAAGAAGATTATCTAGTTATGGGTGAGCTCTATTTGTTTCTGTATTCTGAACTTGTTCTTATGAAAATTCTCATCCTATAGATGAGTCCTATTGAAGACGGGGCTTATGTAAATTAATTGAAAGGACAAATAGAATATATTTTGGGTCTAAAACTACCCTAGAATTTGAAAGTTACAGTACCCCACAACGTATACACTATATTACATAGAAAATATCACTCATACGCAAAAGTACGAAAAAACAGCGAAAATGTCATTGAATTCTGATCGGGCGTGGATTTTTTAAAATGATTTTTTCAGGAACTATTAAAAAGGCGTGAATTTTGAAAATTTTCAAATTAATTGATGCACTTTCTGAGAAGTGCTACAAAATTCTAAAATTTAGTTGGGGTCTATGACAAAATATGGAGCTTCATTGAATTTTTTCCCCACCTATAATGGGATGTTTCGTAATGGGGAGGATATGTCCTCTGAGAATCTTAATTCCTATTTAAAACCACGAAAACGACACTGTAGAGGCTAGAGGTAATTTATACTAGAGGCTATAAATGACAAAAAATTGGTCGGGACCCTTATTGGAAGGTTATTACCATATATTAACCTTTATTCAAATATTTCATCAACAAGGTTATTTTATACTTTGAGATATCGAGGAAAAAAATTACTGACACTTATGTTGGAAAAAATGGACCTAAGAATCGGGTGGTTCGTGATGTGGAAAAACTAACCTTAAATTCCAAATTAAAACCACTTTGTCTGAAAAATTAAAATTGTCGATATGAAAAATGTAACCCCTTTATAGTCCCTGAAAAAATCCACGCCTTTGGAGTCCCCCAAAAAATAATTCTAAAAAAAACAACTCTTTTTGAAGTGTCTGAAAAAAATAATTTAAAAAAATCCAGGCCATGAAAAATTAATTAAAAAAACACGCTCAGGATGGGTCATGAAAATTTAATTTAAAAAACACGCTCAGGATGGGTCATGAAAATTTAATTTAAAAAAATTTTCGCCCTTGGTAGTCCATGAAAAAATAATTTAATTTATAGTCCCTGAAAAAAATAATAATTTTAAAAAATCTACGCCTGAAAAAAATAAATTTAAAAATTTAAAAAATCTACGCCTTTTAAAGTCCCTGAAAAAATTAACATGGACTACCAAGGCCATGAAAAAAAATAATTTTAAAAATCTACGCCTTTTATAGTCCCTGAAAAAAATATTTTTAAAAATCCCTGAGAAAGAAATTTAAAAAAACTACGCCTTTTAAATTCCCTGAAAAAAAAAATAATTTAAAAATCCAGGCCTTTGGAGTCCCTGAAAAAATAATTCTAAAAAAACAACTCTTTTTGAAATGCCTGAAAAATTAATTTCAAAAAATCCAGGCCATGAAAAATAATGAAAAAAATCACCCTTAGGATGGGTCATGAAAATTTAATTTTAAAAAATCTACGCATCCATGAAAAAATAATTTAATTTATAGTCCCTGAAAAAAAAAATTAAAAAATTTACGCCTTTGAAGTCCCTGAAAAAATAATTCTAATTAATTTCAAAAAATCCAGGCCACGAAAAATTAATGAAAAAATCACGCTTAGTATGGGTCATGAAATTTTAATTTTAAAAAATCTACGCCCTTGGTAGTTCATGAAAAAATAATTTAAAAAAATCCACGCTTATGACAGGCCATTTAAAATTAATTTAAAAAATCGTACCTTGGCGTATGATTGATATTTCCGTTGCAATATTGTTTATACGTTATGGGGTACAATATGGCGTATAAGAAACATACATATTAGACAATTACGTATACGTTTGATGATGTTTTAAATTTATTTTTTAAATTAACACGAAATTTAGGATTCTAATTCATTAAATTTCAATTTTACTTTATTATGAAATCATTTGTTTAAATTTAATTTATTATTTGTGTTAATAAAAACACAAAAAATAATTGATTGCCTATCCCAAGGTTTGTGTACCAGATAGATCAAACACCACAGTCCCGCAGCATTTAATTAACTTAATGGGCATTTTTTTGTAAATAAAACTAAATGTTAGAGTCCAAGAGAAACTTTTGCTGCCATGTCATGTCATTTGGCATAAAATTGCATTAAGTTAAAATCGGTTTATTCATTTGTTTGTATGTGTGTGTGTGTGAGTCAGAGTTAGACAGACCAAATATCGTCATCATCATCATCGTCGTCATCATGACAAACTATTGAATTAAAATACCTGTAAATTGTTACGGGATTTGAATCTTCACTTGTATTGTCCATATTGTTGTTATTATCATTGGGATTGTTGTTGGCATTATTGCTGCTGCTGTTGTTGTTGTTATTTATAACATTTTGTGTTGCACCGCCGCCAGCACCAGCTCCTCCTCCACCGGGGACTATGACCGTTGTTGTGGTTGTTCCGGCAACAACTGGTATTGCTGTTGTGCTCACAATGCCAATGCCACCAACAAATCCCAAAAGATTTGATGTCAAGGTAGCTGGTGGACCAATACCAGTTGTTGTGTGTTGATGCTGCTGCAGATGATGCTGGTGGTGTTGTTGGTGTGGACCTCCACCACCTCCTGAAACTGAACTGCTTTGCAATTGCTGCTGTGTTACTGATATAAATGTATTATTGCCTGAGGTTGGTGCTGTTGTTGTTGCTGAGGCGGCGGCTATTGTTGCTTGACCTGCTGCTGTTGTTGTTGTTGCTCCACTGTTATTGGCATCCATTGATTCGTTTGGCATTGCAACTGCTGATATAACTCTTGGATTATTTAAAGGATTGCCACTTGCTCCAGTGGGTATTGTGTTGCTAGCCACTGGACCACCTCCTATTGTTGTCGATTGAAAATGGTTGGTTGTTGTTGTGTTGCTGCTGGTGTATCCTGAATTTTGCTGCGGTAAAATATTATTGGCATTTTGTTGTTGCTGTTGTTGTATTACATTTGTTGCTAAATCGTTAGCTGTTGTTGAGGGTGTGGGCATTGTTACACAAAAAACCAGAGAAGTATTTAAGCGATTTTTGTTTATATAGCCTTGGGCGGTTTAGAGTCGAGACGGAGTGTGGTTCATAAAGTGAATGTAAATGGTGTTGTCTATTATTATTATTATTATTATTATTTTGTTTTTGTTGTTGTTATTTTAATTTTGATAAAAAAAAAAACTGAGCACAGGAACGGGAAACCCTTGAGAGTTTCTTTGTTCGTTTTCGGGATTTTATAGAAATTTTAACAATATTCTTATTTTATAAAACGTGAATATTTTTTTGATTATTAATCTGGTTGCAAATCGTATTGGAAAATTTTACGTTATTTTAGATTTTTTGTTTGTTAAATTTTTATTTTTTTTTTTAATTTTATTAAAAAGTATATTGGACGCCAGTAGTTGTTGGTTTTTTAAGGTTTTATTAAATTATTATTGTTTATTATTATTTTTTAAAGCATTACGATTTTTTGTTATATAAAATATTGGTCGTTAAAGGGTTTTTATTTATTTTATAGTCGTGTAGTTTTTGTAATTGAAAAATTTTCTAATTTAATTAAAATCTTTTAAATTATTTGAGGGTTTTTAGTTTTTATTTTAATTTTAAATTTCAATAAAGCGTTGGTAAATTTATTTTATTTGTTGTTTTTTTATTAAAGTTTTATTTTTATATTTTTATTTTTTTTATTAAATTTTTATTTTTTTATTAAATTTAAATGTCTCCTATATTATTAATTAATTTATTTGTTTATTTGAAAACTTGATTTTCTCTATCACCGTGACTTAATTTATGTAAAAATATTGCATATTGTTTTAGATTTTCATTTAAATTTTACTAAAAAGGCAGTTTTGTTTTATTTTATTTTATTTATTTTTTGTCTTTGGTTTTTAAATTTAATTTATTCACATGAATTGTCAATTTATTTACACTCTAGGGCATAATTTTTACCCAAGTGAATTGTTTTTTATTATTGTTATTTTTTCTTCTATATTTTTCAATTCAGTTTCATTTCTATTGCTGTAAAAAATAAAAAAAACAATAAATCATGAAATGCACATTTTAAACTTTTTTTTGAAATTCCACGTAATATTGTTGATGGCTTTGCCTGATACCCCTTTCACTTTTCATTACAAGAGGAGGGGATTTAAAAAATAGTTTTTCCTGTTGTAGTATTTTTAAATCGTTTTTAAGTTGCATTGCAAAACCTTAATACCAAAAAAACGAACGAAAACTACAATCTAAAAAACGCAAAACATTTCATCTGTAAATGGAATCTAAGGAAACGCATTGCAAAAAAAATCATTCGTTCGTTCATTTATTTCCTATGTTCTTTTTTCACAAGTTCCGCACAATAGTTTCCAGTTTACACAACAAGCTAAATTGCATGGGAAAAGAAGGAAAAAAATGTAATCTGTATACGTATGTAGGTATGTGAGTGTATGCGTTTAGTTTTTATTTCGTGCGTACACAATTGCCAAATAATTGCAAGGAAACATTGGAAATTGTTGGTAGGTTTTCTTTTTTTGTTAAAAAAAAATATATTTTTAAATTGTTGAAATATTATGACCTGAAATTTCAAATATAATTGTACAAAAATATAAAATTTGGTTTATGGGAGTTTAATACATTGGAAATACTATATTCTATATTTGCTAAAGTGAAATACAGTAAATATAAAACAAGCGGTCTCGATTTCACATCGAGACCGCATTGACATCTCACTATGTTCCAAGCGATTAGTTTGATTTTCCAATGTTAAAAACGTGTCATTACATCTGTAAATAAGTAAAAAACTTGTAAAGTTCGGCCGGACGAACTTGTTTTACCCTCCACCAAGTGGTGTGTCTTCAAAATGTCCAGTATTATGACTATGCCATTGTTTATTTAAAAAAATAAGTACCAAATTAAATACACTCAGATTAGTTGGGCTTGGAGTTTTAAAAAAACTTCGGTGGAACAAAGATGTTTAAACATTAAAAGTACGCAAATAGGACGGAACCTTTATATGGGAGATATGTCCAGATATGTACCTACGTAGAAAATTGTGTGCATAAATATGGGTTAACCTACATGACTATGTGTTAACTCAGAGAATACAGCAAAAACATTAAAAACTCCGAAAATAGAGCGGTATTTTTATATGGGTGCAAAACTGGACCGATATTTTAAAGGGGGAAGATGTGGCGTTTCAAATCTTCTCCCAAAAACCAAAATATCAAATTACAGTCCATTCGATTGAAAAACGTGCCCGAAGTCCCCAAATAATGAATAATGGGGACCAGTCTTCAAAATATTGAATTTTAGGACTACCATGGAAGGGACCCCATTTTTAATACCAAATATTTTAGGAGTAGTAATGTATGTTCATTTTAAAGCTCTGTCTTCGGTATTGCGAGCTCTATTTATTAAACAGACAACTGAACATGAGTAAATCGACGTAGAATTGTATTCAGATTAAGAATACCGGCCGGCTGGTGCCCATCATAGCTCTCGAAAGGAGTAACCGATTTTATCCAAACTTGGCACATATTAATATTTCACACAAACTTAGTTCAAGTTCAAAGATGGGGAATATCGGTCCACTCCTTCTGGTACATCCCCCCACAAAATGGTCAAATTTGGCAATTTCATAATATCATGCGAACGGACTATTGTAGATGCAATTATCATTACCAACCCTAGATTAAGTCCAAAGGTGTGACCCATTGGACCAATCGTTCCGGTATCTCCCCCACAAATGACAGAAATTCTAAATACTTATAAACCAATATTAGTGGAATGAAATGTCCGATTTTGACCCAACTTTGCATAACATATTATCTCTAACAATCCTAGATTAAGTCAGAAGGTGGAAAAGAAATCCATATTTGTAGTAAAGTATCGTTGGAAGGGTGACATTTCGCAGTAAAAAAAATATTTTGCTGTATTCAGTTGTGAGTTCCAGGGTGTTAAAAATGGAAGGGAACAAAGAGACAATTCGGTACATTTTACAATTTTTCTTTGACAAAGGCTTTCGTAGATTCCGTTCAGGAATTTCTGATGTTAAAGAAATTGGCCGGCAGGTTAGCAGTCGCAATTTTAATCTATTTACAAAAAAAAAAAAAAAAAAAAAAAAAAAAAAAAAAAAAATAAAAAAATAATAATAATGGATTTCATTTTCTAGTTAACTGATTTGTTCCGCGTTTTGGGATTGTCTCCATGTAGCCGTATTCTACCATAATATGGGGGATATTGTGTATACATAATTGTCAGTTTATATACTACAGCGTATGGAATTCTAAGACGATTTAGTCACCTGAGATTCGAGAATGATACTTAACGATATAATGATACTTAACGATTTTCGGTTCGAATTCAATTCGAATTCAATTCGAAATTCAGCTATATCGGTCCTCAATTATACATAGCACCTAATATAATGATAACTCCAAATGTTCGTTAATTCCTACACGAAGTAATCAATATTGGACCCGCTTTAGGTATAACCTCCAGACACGCATGCAAATTCTTTATTCTAAACCATCAGCCACCTGTGTACGTTGGTTATAGCCTCGTACAAACTTGCCCTCAAAATGCATGTATTTTGAGGATTAAACATGTTTATTCCCTTAAGATCCGATTTGGATGAAATTTAGCACATATCACTTATTCAGCCCAAGGACAAACCCTGATTTGTTGCGCGTTTTGGGATTGTCTCCATGTAGCCGTATTCTACCATAATATGGGGGATATTGTGTATACATAATTGTCAGTTTATATACTACAGCGTATGGAATTCTAAGACGATTTAGTCACCTGAGATTCGAGAATGATACTTAACGATATAATGATACTTAACGATTTTCGGTTCGAATTCAATTCGAATTCAATTCGAAATTCAGCTATATCGGTCCTCAATTATACATAGCACCTAATATAATGATAACTCCAAATGTTCGTTAATTCCTACACGAAGTAATCAATATTGGACCCGCTTTAGGTATAACCTCCAGACACGCATGCAAATTCTTTATTCTAAACCATCAGCCACCTGTGTACGTTGGTTATAGCCTCGTACAAACTTGCCCTCAAAATGCATGTATTTTGAGGATTAAACATGTTTATTCCCTTAAGATCCGATTTGGATGAAATTTAGCACATATCACTTATTCAGCCCAAGGACAAACCCTATTGCAATTGGAAAAATCGGTTGAGATTTAGATATAGCTCACATATATAGTTTCGTCCGATGTTATGTAATTGGAGCACCAAACCCCCCATATTGGTCTGATTGAGACAAAATTTCGCACATAGTACTGAATTAGGTCCAGTTGAATTGGTTCAGATTT